ACCATTAACAAAACTACAACCATTAACAAAACTACAACCATTAATAAAACGACAACTATTAATAAAACAACAACTATTAATAAACAGACAACTATTAATAAACCGACAACTATTAATAAACCGACAACTATTAATAAACCGACAACTATTAATAAACCGACAGCTATTAATAAAACGACAACTATTAATAAAACGACAACTATTAATGAACCGACAACTATTAATAAAACAACTATTTATAAACAACAACTATTAATAAAACGACAACTATTAATAAACTACAACTACTAATAAATCTACAACTATTAATAAAACTACAACTATTAATAAACTATATTAATAAAACAACGATTAATAAAACGACAACTATTAATAAAACTATAACTACTTCTTTTTAAATTACAGGCTTCTACAAAAACCACCTCATTCCAGTTCCATCAGCTCTTTAATCGATCTCTGATGGACCTACCTGTTGACTAGCTGACCATGACCTTTGACCTCTGAAGTGGTTCTGAAAGGCCCGATTTAAACTCTCAGCTGTTCTGGAACTGGATCAGAACACGCATCAGTATTGATTAGCAGCGTGCGCGTTGATCGGAGCAGAAAGAGCCCGAGGAAATGAAACCGCAGGTCGTTATGGAACCAGCAGCAGCTCAGAAACAGAAAACAGCCGACGAACTGGGGCGAACAGAAACGGGTCGCGGCTGAAAACATTGGATCAGCATCTGGTTTGATCCAAGTCAGAACCCAGACCTCTGTTTGAGTTGACAGCTGAAGGACTGAACTGCTGAAGAACGGATAGCTAAAGTTAAAACAAGCAGAACATTTGTGCAAAACAGCTAAAGACATCAAAACATCAACATTAGCAAAACTACATAAAAGTAGCCAAACAAATATTAAAGCTGAAATCAGCAAAACAGTAGCCGAAACCTAAACTCATTTAAAATGTAGGTAAAGCTAAAATCAGCAAACATGTAGCCTTAAGCTAAAAGCTTATATGTTTGCTGATTTTAGCTTTAGCTATAGCAAAACAGTAGCTAGTTGCTTAAAACAACTAAAAAAGTTAATATTAGCAAAATTATAGCTAAAAGTAGCTAAATAAATTCTAAAGCTAATATAAAACAGTAATAAAAGCTAAAATCTGCTAAATGGTAGCTAAAGCCGAAATCTGCAAAATTATAGCTAAAGCTAAAAGTAGCAAACTGGCAACGTAAAACTAAATTCAATTAAACAAATGCTACAGCTAAAATGAGCAAAATGCTAGCTAAAGCTAAAACCAGTAAACCAATAGCCTAAAGCTAAAAGTAGCCAAACAGTTGCTAAAAGCCAAAAGTAGCTAAAAGTTAAAAGCAAATGCCAACATTAGCAAAGTTGTAGCTAGAAGTAGCAAAGCAAATGCTAAAGCTAAAATTACAAAAAGGCAGCTAATAGCTAAAAGCAGCAAAACCGTAGCTAAAAATTATAAGCAGACAGATGCCAACATCATCAAAACTGTAGCTACAACAGCAAAACAAATGCTAAATCCAAAATCAGCTGAAAGTAATAAAATGGTAGCTACAAGCTAAAAGTAACATGAGAGAAAATTAGCCAGTAGCTGAAGCTGATGTTTAAAATAAATTAAGATAAATTTTTATGCATTATGAAAAATAAATAAATAAAGTGTGTTAAATGATGCTGATTTTGTGTCAAAATAAAAGCATCATCAGCATCTGAAGCACAGCAGAGGGACTGAGATGGACGGGTGGTTCTGGTTCTGACCAGACGTGGACGCTGCGGGTTTGGACAACAGAACCTCCCGGTCCAGAACAAAAGGTCAAACACAGACTGAAGGTGTTTCATGAGGGAGATGGATGAACTTAAAGACTTCTTCATCTGAGCTCCAGCTCTGATCCAGAGGAAGTCATGAGAGTTTGGGTGTGAGCCGAAGCCGGCGAGACGCCAGGTGAACAAAAATCTGTAAACTGTAGAAGCAATGTGCAGATTAGGATTAAAGATTACACGTGTGAGCTGCAGCTGTTTCTAACAGGTTCTCTCAAATCTCATCTTGTTCCGTGTGGACTTTTATTTCTGAGAGTTTCATCCGATTCACAGAAACTGGAGTAGAAACGAGACGAATGATCTCATCTTCATGCAGCTTTGGATAAACGCTCTCATTTCTCTCCGTCTTTGTAACACGTGAAGGTTCTGCTGAACCCGAGTTCTGACTCGGATCAGCGGTGCCGTTAGCAGAGCGAGGCCGTTCGGCTGCGATGGTTTTCAGGAAGTGGAGCTGAAAGAGCTGCTGTTGAGGAGCGGGTCGCTCGGCGGCCCGCGGGGTGTCGCACAATAACCGCTTGTTCTTTTACCACCGAACACTGAGGCTCTGTTTGGA